GGTGTGGAAGGCGGATCGCTGTCCCGGCCCGGGGTGACTTCTGCTCTACACCCGAGCGGAGCCGATCGCGAAGTTTGGGTTCTCCAATGAGAAGCGCGCCGCGGTCGTCCTCACGTTCGTGGAAGGTGTGCGGGGTCGGCTGGGGGGGGGGGGTCCTCAAACTCGTGGCCGCGTTTCCCCCCCCCCCCCACACGGAAAGGCGAGCCTCGGAGAGATCCCGAATGGCCGGAACCACGCTGGGATCTTTGCTTTTTCCCTTTTTCTCGGGGAGCTGAAGTCCGATCGGTGTGCGGTGGCACGCAGTCAGCCCGCGCACGCAAGTCGAATGTGCCGGGCGTGCACTGGGTGTCTTCCACCTGCCGCGTGCCCGTGCTGGGCTGAGGCTTGACCTTAGGACCCGGGTGCTGTCCCCTTCCCTTAAGTCTATTCTGTTCGGGCTAGCGCTCTACCACTGGAGCCACAGCTCTACTTCCAGTTTTTTTTTTTTTTTCCTGGTTAATTGGACATAAGAGTCTCCTGCGAGTCTCATGGCCCGGGCTGGCTTTGAACTCAGATCTTCGCCTCTTGAGTAGCCCAGAGATACCAGCGCCAGACCTTTAACCTCCGTTAGTGTCTGGCTTGCAAATAAGCAGCCTGGAAGCCCCCACCGCATCAAAATGGAATAATATATCCTGAGGTTTACTCATGCTCACGGAACGAGTTCTAAAGTAAACTTAAGCCCTACTTGGTTGGTGTTAGTCAATGTCCCGGCAACACTTAATTGTGTGTTTTATTTTTAAGGGTCTCTGACACCATCCCACACGTCCTCACTGCTTGTGCATGCGCGTGCACACACATACACAAACATAGTCTCAGGTCTAAAACTATTGTTTTACGTAGCCGAGTTGATTTTGACATTTAAGTATATAAAGTTGGAATTTGATGATTGAGCCTGATGGGCAGCACTATTTGTATTAGTGATAGTTATGAGCAATTCTAAACAACCCAAGCATAAGATCAGGAACGAAATTGAGGTTCTAATAGATACACCAGAGTTCAGATATGAAATGAATATAATCAGCGAGTTTACTCTGGCTTGTTGAAAAGTACAAATAAGAAAATAACTAGAATTTCTAAGATCCTAGTGTATGTTATTGGCATCTTATTTAATCAGAAGAGAGTATCTGATACTGTTGTTTTTAATGCACAAATGCAGAAAATAATTTGAAGCAGTTTCACAAGCCTGAAATTGAATTAGAAGGGGAGGAAAGCAAGTTTTCAACATTTCTTGTTTATCAAATATGAATAAAAGTTTTTCACGATTTTAATTATTATTTTTCATTGTAATTTGCTCCTTGCTGGATTGAGTTACTTACATTCACTCCAGTGTTCAGTTACAGAATTACCTAGCTAAAAACATTGAAGCTCATCTACTTTAAGAATATATTCATAACTATATGTCTTGCTTACATTTATATGCCTGTTAATTTATGCCTTTTAAGTTTTATAATACTGGTAACAAGAAGATGTTATATGATGCAGATATTTTTCGTTTTGTAATTTTTTCCATATAGAGAAGAAATTTTTTTTAAAAAGAGCTTTATCCTTATCTTTTTTTCCACAGCAAGTGAAGATGTTAAAGAGATCTTTGCCAGAGCCAGAAACGGGAAATACAGACTTCTGAAAATATCTATTGAAAATGGTTAGTTAACATTTAAAAAATACCGCATGTGCTTAAATTATTGGGTATTAGATTGCTAAGTGTTGTCAGTAATTTGAACTATTAATGTGAAAAAGCTTCAAAGCTTGCCTTAAAGTAACAGATTGCTCACATCACGTCTCTAAGAGCCCTTCCTCTTCTTGAATTCTGTAGCACAGGATTTTTTTGTGTTTGTATTGCCTCTTAATATTTGTGACTTGGTTCCTGCAACACAGTCTGCTTCTAATGTCAGTGCTTCCATTTCTGGAAGCAGTGAACAGGTGGTTATTAAAAAGAAGTTATTTAGTTCAGCAATGTTCTGTAGTACAGACATGGTCTTTCTAAGTTTGGAAAAAGTTATAAGAATCTAACCAAGGTATAAATTAACTCTTTAAAAGTAATTCTGAAAGTCAGATTTGAATTTAAACAATTGCTGGTAGACTGACTTGATCACACATGGAATGTGTTAAAATATAAAATAGTCCACTGGCCTCATATATCTTAAATACCTTGACATATTTATTTACTCTGAAAACATAAATTATTCTTCCATAAATTGGAAGTAGATCTAATTTGTTCTCCACTTTCTGTTTATGTATTAAGAATGAGAATAGTTTCTAAAATCGACAGCACTTTGAACATTCAATGAGAATAAAGTTAAAGATACTGTAAAGCAGCATGTTTTAGCAATATTGAGCTAAAATTTTTAGTGTCATCACTTCCTAAGTGACTAGTTATTTTTTGTTTTTTTTTTTTGTTGTTTTTTTGGGGGGGTCCGGTCGTGGGGCCTGAACTCTGAGTCTGGGCACTGTCCCTCAGCTCTTCAGCTCAAGGCTAGCACTCTACTACTTGAGCCACAGCGCCACTTCTGGCTTTTTTTCTTTTTGCTTATGTGGTGCTGAGGAATCGAACCCAGGGCCTCAGGCATGCAAGTCAAGCGCTCTACCACTGAGCCACCTTCCCAGCCCCCCTAAGTGACTAGTTAAGTAATTAAAATAGAACAGGTAGTGTCGCTAACTAGCAGCACATCACTATTTTTGAAATCATTTTCTAGTTTATTTTGAGGAAGAAAGATAGAAAAGGAAATTTCAAAGAATGAAAAATAATAAATACCTGCATCTCTCCTTAAGTAGTACATAATAAACTATTTTAAATGTAATTTTGAAATAACTTGGTCTTCCTATAACTCATACCTTGAAAAATGAGAAAAAAAAATTGTGGTTTTATACTTGAAAAAATGTGACAGCATTTATGTACTTTGCCTTGATAGCCATTATTTGCTTTTAAGCCTTTTGAAATGTTAGTGTTTTTCTTATATAACAATATATTTTTTGAACAACTTTGAATGTTTTTGTCTGTGCCACATATTGTTCATTTTCTTAATGATGGAACTTGAGGCTTTTTCCAGTTCTTACTGTCCCTGAAAAGTGCTTCAGTCAAACTCTCTCTTTCACAGACACACAGATACACACATCCCCTGTCCATATGTGTCACCATTTTACTTCATTGTGTTAAGTTACACTTGTGAAGTGTCCATTGTAATTTATGTTTGTAGGCATATGTTTAAATCTATAGCATTATAGTCAAATAGGCACTAAATCTTGTTCAACTGAATATCTCTTATAAGAGCTAAATCTTATTTCAGAAATTATAGTTTTGAGTGGTAGTGTAATTTTTTATATTTTGCTAGTACTTTACAGCATTGATCTTTTGAAAAATGGAATCTAACTGCCTGTTGTTCATCTCAATGATTGTGATCATTTTTCAGTTTCATTTCTTGTATCACATAAGTATTTATCTAAAACAGCATGCTGTTCATTACTGTTTTTAACTGTGTTTCATATCATAATAATTTCATGTGTTGCCACTTTTGTCTTTCATCTTGTTGATGTGAGTGATGATCATTGGAGAAGAAATATATTTTCTAGTCTACATTATTCTGCCATTTGGTATTTCCAACCATGTATGTATCAGGTTAAAATTTTCTTTTCATAGAGCAACTTGTCGTTGGATCTTGTAGTCAGCCTGAAGATTCCTGGGAAAAGGATTATGATTCCTTTGTCTTGCCCCTGTTGGAGGACAAGCAGCCGTGCTACCTGTTGTTCAGGTTAGATTCTCAGAATGCGCAGGGATATGAATGGATATTCATTGCATGGTCTCCAGATCATTCTCATGTAAGTAGTTGTTTTGTAGTGAAATTTAACAGTAAATGCTCAAGATATTTTTTTAAAAAATATTTCAAGGCTGAACATTAAAAGGTCATTTACCCTATAAGAAATGATGATTGGAGCCGGGCGCTGGTGGCTCACGCCTGTAATCCTAGCTACTCAGGAGGCTGAGATCTGAGGATCGCGGTTCAAAGCCAGCCCGGGCAGGAGAGACCGTGAGACTCCTATCTCCAATAAACCACCAGAAAACCGGAAGTGGCGCTGTAGCTCAAGTGGTGAGGGACAGCGCCCAGGCCCAGAGTTCAAGCCCCACGACCGACAAAAAAAAAAAAAAAAAAGAAATGATGATTGGGGAAATCCTTGTGCTGATATTGTGGAATCAGGAGTATTACACTTAGATTCAGAAGACTCTCCCTTGAAATCACAAGTATTATTAATTAACTATAATTAACTATAAAGCTAACTACTTTGCCCTGACAGTGATCACTGTAATACTGCTGAGAACTTATTGACTATAATTTTAATTTTTGTCAGTATTCATGTATTATTAATGGCTGTCACTCCCATTATAGGCTTATGTACAAATACTTATTTTAGGAAGGTTGGTAGTGGATTGACCAAATGAAACAAGGTAAAATTATCATGTGAATATTGTCCAAATTTTAAGTTTGTTATAAAAAATATTTTTTTAAAGCTATTTAGATGGCCTTCTTAAAAGATTATTCTGTCTCCTTTAGTTCTTCACATCCTCTCTGGAAAAAGGTTTGGGATTTCACTGTTAAGGATTATGAAATTATTTTTAGTAGCTTTCTGTAGATAGTAGACTCTTTAATAGGAGAAGTATGTGTTGATCTTTTTCATCCCAGTGTACCACATAGGATGGTATATGCCATCAGTAAGCCATGAATATTTGACTCTTAATAATATCTGAGATAGCTTCGAGGAAGATTCCGCTATCAAAGTTATTTCATGTCATTTTTCTCCTCTTTTAAAAACTTTTTAAACTCACTTTGTATTCTTGGAACTCTTACTTTGAAAATTTAGAATTTTTTGTTAGCATTTTGTGATTTTTTCCACTTGATAAGATGTGATGTAATTTGTAATCTACCTTGGTAGTCATTGATAGCTTAGATGCTCATTATAATGCTTATTCTCATTCTTAGCATCTGAGCTTCAACTTTATCACTAGTTTTAATTTGTTTAAAGATTTTTTTAATACATTTAGAATATGCTGTTTTTGTAATGATATTCTTATCCATAAACTTACACAAAAATTTTGGTAAATGAATAGGTTCGTCAAAAAATGTTGTATGCAGCAACAAGAGCAACTCTGAAAAAAGAATTTGGAGGTGGCCACATTAAAGATGAAGTATTTGGAACAGTAAAGGTGCTCAAAGTTCATATTTTTATGTAAATTTAATGTTGTGAAAAAATTGTTAAAGAACTCAGTGGTGGGGAATTGTTATGAATTCAGATGGTTGAATCTATAAAAGTAAGAATAGGGCTGGGAAGGTGGCTCAATGGTAGAACATTTGCCTTGCATTCATGAGGCTCTGGGTTCGATTCCTCAGCACCACATAAGTAAAAAGAAAAAAGCCAGAAGTGGCACTGTGGCTCAAGTGGTAGAGCGCCAGCCTTGAGCTGAAGAGCTGAGGGACAGCGCGCAGGCCCAGAGTTCAGGCCCCACAACCGGACCCCCCAAAAAATAAATAAAATCAATACATAAAAACCAGTAGCTTAAAAAAAAAGTAAGAATAAAAGAGAAAGTACTGTTATATTTCAAAAGATATGAAAGTTAACACAGTTCATATATAACAATTCATTTGTGTGTATATTTATTAGACAATGAGAATATGTGCTGTGGAAAATTCCTACCTTTCTAAAATATTTGCATGGTAATTACATATATTAGTGAATATGCACACAGACTGAGAAGATTGAATTATGTTTGTCAGCAGGCTTTTGTTTACTTGTTCAGAGGTTTCCTGCTTCAGAAAGTAATGTAATTTAGTAGACAGAGGGAATGTGCAGTTTGTACTTCATTAATTGTGTACTGCGCTGGCTGCTTTCTCCAGTCCCTAAGTCTCAGTCTTCCAAACCACAAATAGTAGATAAGAAAATGTCTTTTTTTTATATATATACAAACTCTAATGATGTTCTCTGAATAAGTACAGGTATTAGTTTAAATCCAGAATTCAGAATGTTAACTGTTAATTGTTACAGAACTATAAGACAGTTTTCCCCAAGAAAATACTTAAAAGTGGACTTGAAGCATGACTAGACTGATTATTGGCTCACATCACCACTACCAAACTCATACCAAAGATTTCAGTAATTATAAAACTTAAGAGTAAATATTCCCCATAGAAATGTTTGAAACTAAGCTGGAAGTGGAGCTGTGGCTCTTCTTGTAGAGAACTAGCTTATGGTGGGGTGGGGAGGGGTGGGGGGAAAGCTCAGGGATCATGCTTAAGCCCCAGAGTTCAAGCCCCAGGCCTGGCTCATGCACACGCATGCACAAGTGTGCACATACAATTTGAATCTTTCAAAATGCTATTTTTGTGTGTGTGCTGGTCCTGGGGCTTGAACTCAGAGCCTGGATGCTGTCCCTGAGCTTTTCTGCACAAGGCTGGCATTTTGATGGTTATCTGGAGATCCGAGTGGCTTCAATCCATGATCTTCAGATCTCAGCCTCCTGAGTTGCTAGGATTATAGGTGTAAGCCACTGGCCTCTGGCCTAATGCTACTTTTTTATTTAAAAAATTTCAATTAAATTAGCATTTTTTTTCTTTCTAAACAACTTGTTTTCTTTGTAGAGATAGTTAATAGTCCATTTCTGTGCTTACAGGAAGATGTATCATTACATGGTTACAAAAAATATCTGCTGTCCCAGTCTTCCCCAGCGCCCTTGACTGCAGCTGAGGAAGAATTAAGGCAGATTAAAATTAACGAGGTAAATTACAACTTTGAAATGCTTGTAATGCGTTAAGTATTTGACAGTACCATATTTTCACTTAATAGGAGTAACTAGGAATAAAGGTGTTCCATTGGCTGTCTGTGTTCAGTGTGTTCTCAGAAAGACAAAGCTAAAAAGTAGTACACTTCTTACCAATGTCTTAGTAGTTTTCCTCCAAAACATATATGTCAGAACACTGTCTTTTTGTTAGAAACACCGTTCTTTGGATACTATGAAAATGGGAACGTGTGTGTTCTCTATTTATTGCAGTTTTCTTTTTAGTAAGGCTGCCTAGAGCAGGTTTTATGCTACTTCAGAGAATAGCGATGTCTGATGAGAATCACCTAAATTCTGTAGAAAGCTGAGTATTTCTAAGAGCTCTGTACAAGTCTGTGAACTTGGATGGAGGATTGTTATTTGAGGACTTGTTGAGCAGGTTTGAGTCAGTCAGTCTCAGCCATATTATAATTCATTGTGTTCTTAATTTGAGTCAGTCAATCTCAGCCATATTATAATTCATTGTATTCTTAATATATTACTTTCTGAGGCATCCTAGTGGATGTTGGCATAACTACAGTATTTCTACTGCTATTTTACAGAAAAGAACAAGTAGCTGAGATGGTTATTCACTGGCCTCAGTAACAGACTAATAGGAAAGAGTCTGGAAAATGATTAAAATGTTTCATACTAAGTTGGTAGCCAAGGATCTATCGTATTAACTTAAGTTATTTGGTAGGGCTTTTGATGTGATTTTTTTTTTTACAAGTTTGATAGTTTGTTTTATTCCTTGCAATCAGAACCCAGAGGATCATATTGGGGTATGCACTTGCATATATTTTATGATGTTTTCATTATCCAATATCATGCTGTAGAATCTCCATTCATTTTATTTACAAAAGTAGAATTTCTATTTGACTTTCCATGTGACACTGCAAATGAGCGCCTATACTAGCTACCATGTACCAGCATAAAGACCTTGACCATGGATGTGCATTGAAAGCTTTCTTCTGGGCCACATGCACTCCATTCTTAGTATAAGAAAGCTCTCAGTCTGGAACTTCTGCAGTTGTACAATTTGTTGAGCTGTGTTGTGTCTTTGTGTACTATTTGTCCTCCTTTCAATTCAGTGCATGGTGTTTGTGTTGCATTTTTATGTCCAAGCGAAAAAAGTGTAGTTTCTTACACATACTGTGTTTTGTTATTCACAAATTCTGTCCAGTAAAATTTTGTACAGGACTTGAAGGGGTCATAGATGACACTGTAAGAGTTTGTGCAGTTCATTGGAACTGTGCCAAACCAACTGAACAGAACCTCCAGAGCCTTGCTAAATCTGCACACTCCTTCATCCCTCCCAGCATTTTCATAACGATAGATTGTGCACCTTGCATGTCAACAAAGTGCTAGCAGCACAACAGGCAAAGTAAATTGCTCTCTAAGTGTATAGTGTTTGAATTCTCAGTTACAGGTTGGGAAGCAGTTGAATGGTGGTCTTTGGTGTAGGATGGGTGCTCTTATTTTTACCATAGGACATTGGTGAATGTGAAGTTTTACCAGCAAATTGTGTCTGTCATACTCAGGTACAGACTGATGTAGGCGTGGACACGAAGCATCAAACACTACAAGGAGTAGCCTTTCCTATTTCTCAAGAAGCTTTCCAGGCTTTGGAAAAACTGAGCAACCGACAGCTCAACTATGTGCAGTTGGTAAGAGATGGAGAATGAAAAGTCTGTTCTCTTCAGTGGTTTACAGCTTGTATAAATTCTGATTTTCATGGGCTTTAAATTTTTAAAAATGCCTCTAATTATTTTATTCGTTTCTTAAAAGATCACAAATGTGCTGGGCATTAGTGGCTCATGCCTAATCTACTCAGGAGGCTAAGATCTCAGGATGAAGGTTTGAAGCCAGCCAGGGCAAGAAAGTCTATGAAACTCCTCTTTATTTCCAGTTAACTACCAAAAGGCAAAAAGTGGAGGTGTGTCCCAAGTAGTAGAGCACTAGCCTTGAGCAAAAAGGTCCAGTGACAGCACCCAGGCCCTGAGTTCACACCCCCAGGACTAGCACAAAAGAAAATCACAAAAGCTGTATATGTCATTATAAATTTAAAAAAAAGTCAAGATTAATCCAGGACTGTGTCCCTTCTTGTCTTCTAACTTTTTTATTATAAAATTGTAACTGTTTTAACGAATATATATATATATATATTTTTTTTTTTTTTTGGCTAGGAAATAGATATAAAAAACGAAATTATAATTTTGGCCAACACCACAAGTACAGAACTGAAAGATTTGCCAAAGAGGATTCCCAAGCATTCGGCACGCTACCATTTCTTCCTATATAAACATTCACACGAAGGAGACTACTTGGAGTCCATAGGTATGTGGTACATTGTTTTTCACAGCACTTTCATTGGCTGGCTGGTATTCAGTACCATATACTGAAGCATTTCTTACCTAGAGGGCTTAGTTGCAGTTTTATAAGGTTTGTATACTTGCTTTAATCCATGAACTGCTAACTGTACTTACTCTCTCACCTTACAGTTTTTATTTATTCAATGCCTGGATACACATGCAGTATAAGAGAACGGATGCTGTACTCAAGCTGCAAGAGCCCTCTACTAGAAATTGTAGAGCGACAACTGCAGATGGATGTAATCAGAAAGGTAGACTTAGGTTCTGCTCATTCATTCATTCTGGTACTGGAGCTTGAACTCAGGGCCTAAGCACTGTCCTATAATTTCTACACTCAAGGATAGCATTCTACCACTTGAACCACAGTTCCACTTCCAGCTTTTTGCTGGTTAATTGGACATGAGTCACATGGACTTTGCTGTCTGGGCAGGCTTTGAACTGTTATCCTCAGATCTTGTCCTCCTGAGATAGGCATGAACTTTGCTGCCCAGCTGACTTGGGCTTTAAAACCATCACTTATCACCAGATTTTTCTTGTCATTTCCATGTACCATAAGATGTGACATTATTTATAAATGAAAATACTTGTTTATGTTGTTCCTAACCTAAGTCCTTAGAATCTCTTTTACAAGTCTAGAAACGACCTGTCACATTCCTCCTCTCTCTATTGATCGGCACTGTGTAAATGGTGGCTACAACTCACATGTGGCTATGTTTAGATAAAATTTAACATTTAGCTGTTCTTTGTTTTTTTGGCAAGAAGACTTGGCAGAGCTTTATTGAATAAGCAAGCAGACAAGCAGAAAGGAAGGAGTACACTCTTAACAGTGTGGTGCTCTCAAGGAGAAACAGAGAGACACCAACATTTAGTTTCTGAGTCATCTGAATCACATTTCAAGTGCTCAGTAGCCACCTCTGACTCAGGGCTACAGTATTGTGAGGTGCAGCTTTCCTGGGCCTCTGCCACCTTCTGTCCCACAGTGCTTCTAGAGCTACATACTTTGACTGTGACTAGACTTCTTACTGAAAAGGAACCACACTCCATTTATATCCATGGGTCCTGGGAGGATTGCACATTGCCCAGTTATTTGGGGAAATAGGGAATGTGTATAAAATGGAATTCCCATTTGGATTGTGGGAACTCAACTACAAATTTTCTTACCTTTATTTTCTTAAATGCAGATAAAGCAAAAGGAAAGATATGTTTTGGTTTATGTTTTAGCTTTTCACCTCTTAAAACACAAGTCTTTTATAAGCTACCAGTGGTGTGGTTTTAGGTCTTGAATACTTTGATCTTTTTCTTTTTTTGGTGCCAGTCCTTGGGCCTGAGTATTGTCCCTAAGCTTCTTTTTGCCCAAGGCTAGTCCTATACCATTTGAGCTTTTCTTTTTTTGAGTAGTTTAAATCTCATGGACTTGCCAGTCTGGGTTGGCTTCGAATTGTGATCCTCAGATCCCAACCTCCTAAATAGATAGGATAAGGCAGGTGGCTTCTTTGATCTTTTTAAGGTCCTGAATGGTTGGACCTTCCACAGCAAAGGTGGATCAAGACACAGTTTACACTTTGCCAAGTCACACAGGTTCTGTGTTACCTGTTCTTGATTTTAGTTTTGAGTTTGCCCTCAACTGTTCCAGAGTGATGTCCAGTGGCTCAATGAATAGAGCCATATATGTTTCTTGAATAGATCATGAACCAAAAGCACAACCACCCAATATTATAATATGAGCTTTTACTTAGCAACATTACTTAACTAGGATCAGTAAGAGGGAACAGGAAAGAAAGTGAACAGGGCTGATGATATATTTAGGCAACTATTTTGCATTGCTTTGAAAACCTGAAGTAGTTTACATACACAGCCCTGGTTTGCTTGTGTGTGTGCGTAAGCACTCATATCTGAACACTGGCTTGTTGCTTGCATGGCATTTTGATTATTATGCTTTTTTATGTTGTATCACATGACTAATTTCCTTTTTTACAGATTGAGATAGACAATGGAGATGAATTGACTGCAGACTTCCTTTACGAGGAAGTGCATCCCAAGCAGCATGCACATAAGCAAAGTTTTGCAAAACCGAAAGGTCCTGCAGGGAAAAGAGGAATCCGAAGACTGATTAGGGGTCCAGCCGAAACGGAAGCCACTGATTAAAATCGGTCTGTTCAACATCGCAATACTAGTTATTTTTTAAAGTCCACTTTTAGGATACAGGAGAACTGAAATCATTCCATGTTGATATACAGTAGGGAAGAAAATTGTACTTTTTGAAAAATAGCACTTTTCACTTGTGTGTGTTTATAAAATGTTATGGGAGACTCATGATTTCTATTTTTGAGTTCAAGCTGGGAGAGGTTTTAACACAGCATTGTTTAGTTTTTGTCACACCTTTTTCATTGAGTGTTGATTTCACACAAATAATTCTGAACATTTTATATAGCTGGGCCATTTCCAGAAAGTCTTGATGTCTTAAAGTAGGATATACTATATTTAGTGAAACATCTGGGTTTTTTTTTGTTTGCTTTTTTGAAATACTCACCTTGATGAATATGCTAAGGAACAGGTTAGATTACTTTCTAAGCTGGAAATGTATGTGCCTAGGAAGAGGTGGAAAGTTGCTTACTCTGAGAAGCTGTGCTGTCAAACCTGGACTGTGTCTGCATCTTGGAGAAATAATCATACCAGTCTTTTCTATTTTAACTTTCTTGGTTTTTTTAATGGCATTAAAATTTCAGAGTAGCTCACTCTGAAACTATAGGGTACCAGATACTTACTCTACTGAAGGATTTCTGACAGACTGCCTTGGTGAATCTCTTTCCATTGCTTAAAAAAAAAATGTTTTTCCAAGGAAATCATTTCATTGTAAGTGCAGTGAGACCCACAGTGCTCATGTTCAGACTGAAATTCAAATGAGTGATCATTGAAAAGGAAACAAGACTAAAAAGTTTTCCTTTTCAAAACCATGGGTTTATAGACAAATCATGTTCTTTTATCCTTGTGCTACAAATACTCAAATTTAAATTGTTTAAAGTCCTAGTACTGAATAGCCTAACTTAGCTTAAGAATGTTGTTTGAGTTAATATCTCATTTAAAAATGCATTTAACTGTCTTCTAAAGCTTTTGCATTTTCATTTAGAACCTAGAGAGACTTTGAGCCTTTGATACTTGAAATAGAGGGAGCTGGAATACATATTTAATTGGTTAACCTGCAGCAGAGCCATAATCTTGAAAAGCTTTTGAAAGGAACTGTGGGTATGCAGAATTTGGGATTTCTTGACTTAAACTTCATGATGCCTAAACAGTATCAGAAATGCACATTTCATAGTGTAAAATATGAAGCATTCTTTGCTAAACCTTATCACCCAAGGTAGAAGACATACCTTTCAGAAATTCAGTGTGTGTTCAAGTAAAGGATATAAGGATAATTATGGGTTGGCAGATTAAAAAAATAGAATTAAGAATATTTGTGTGGTTTTTGCTTGTTTACAAAATAATTAGAGTATAATATTTAAACTTGCAAAATAGTTGACAATGATGTTGCACTTGTTTACTAAAGATATACTTTATAAAGTTCCTTAGGTGCACAAATAGAAACACATACCCACCAATTATTGCAATGAGAGGCCTGGGGTTCTGTTTGAGACTGTAGTTAAAGTGGTCCGTTGCAGTCAGGAAGAACAGGACCTGTCATGAATATAAAGAGGATGTCAGCAGTAAACGTTTTTCTGTATCTCCATGCGCAATTACACTCTTAAATTCTACACTACATGACAGTAAATGGACATTCCAGAATATAGATATGATTATATTATCTTACTAATTATTATTTAATGCAATGATTTCTGAAGAATCACTTCTGCATTTGTTTTAGAGGATAACTCATTGTTTACAGGATGTTTTAGGTGACACTAGATGTGAATAACATTCCCAATAAATTTATATAGCAGTGAAAAATTACATGCCTTCTGTGGACATTTTATAAGTGCATTTTATATCGCAATAAAATTTTTTCTCTTTAAGTTGTGTTCTATTCTGTGTTGGATTTCTAGTACAGCTTTTTAAATGTTTGGATAATTGTGTAATTCATGGGTTAGAAATTCCATTTATCTATTCGTTAATTGGCCTACCTAAGTCCAGAAAGGATTTTAAGTGGTTTGAAGCCTCAGTAAGAGAGAACAGTTGTGACTGTTCAGTGCTGATTGTACATAAGAATTTACCCACTATTGTAGCCATAGTAAAAATGCCACAAGTCACTTAGTTCCTACTGTGATAGAACCATTCCTGTACAGTGAGTGATCAGACTGTCTGACCCGACTTCGACTTCGTAGAGGTGCTATTTACCCTCCAGAATTGTTAGCTACATTCCTACCTGCATGCAACTCAATATCAAATAGAAAAGATCTTGATGGCAATTTTACAAAAGGTGGAGAAAGTACCTTAGAACTAACTTTTAAAACTTAAAAAATGTGAACTCTAAAACCTGAGGTACACATTACAGATAGTTCAGTGTACATCTCCCATTTTCTTTGCTTGTTCAGCCATACATTATAAGGGTAGCAGTTTCTTTTTTATGGGGAAAATGCTGCTCCTGAGGCTGGAGGCATGGCTACGGTATTAGAGCATCTCCTAGCAAACAAACAGTTCAGATTCCAGAACTGAAAACAAACACATACTTGGGGCTTCATTCAGAGACACTTGATGCGTCAGTGGACCTAGGAATCAGTTCCATGAATAATTTCCTGTTTACCCTTGACTAGTAGTTCCTTTGATACAAATTGTGGCTGTCCCTCATGTCTCTCCCCTCTCCCCCCATTCCTCCAATCTAGCCTTACTGTGATGTACTCCCATCACTTGGGGCATGGCTTGCTACCTTGATCATTTAGCTGTGGCTCATTGGCTGCTTTCTCCCTGGAGCCAACCAAGCATGGCCATGGGAAATGTGTGCTTTTCCAGCAAGAATATCACTAACTCATCATTGGCTGGCTGTTTTCCTCACTGCAATTCTCTGCTCAAGTGTCTTATCTCCCTGAACCTCCAATCTGTGCCCTTTGGTTCTCTCTTGCCTTAATTTATTTTCTCATAATACAGGCATTGTGTTAGCTTTGCATCACTGTAGCAAAGTACCAGAGAGAAATCAACTTAAAAAAATACTTGGGCTTATGGTTTTGGAAGTTTCACTCCATGACCTCTAGGTTCTGCTAGGCTTGTGAGGCAGAGCATGAAGGTCATGTGTTGGACCCACACTGCTCATCTTGTGACTTGCCATCAGCCAGAGTTCAGGGTTTTTGCTTTGTTTTGTTTTTGTGTAGGACCTGGAACTTGAGCTTAGGGCCTGGTCTCTGTCCCTGAGTTTTTCCATTAAAGGCTCATACTCTTTACCACCAGTGCCATAGCACCACTTCTGGCTTTTTGGTGCTTAATTGGAGATGAGCATCTCACAGACTTCTCTGACCTTTCTAGCTTTGAACCAGGATCTTCATCTCAGCCTCTTTAATAGCTAAGACTACAGGTGTAAGCCACCAGCACCCAGCTCAGAGCTCTTTTTTTTTTTTTTTGGTGTGTGTGGGGGGGGGTCAGTCGTGGGGCTTGACTCCAGGCCTGGGCACTATCCCTTAGCTCTTCAGCTCAAGGCCAGTGCTCTACCGTTTAAGCCACAATGCCACTTCCAGTTTTCTGAGTAATTTATTGGAGATAAGAGTCTCATAGACTTTCCCACCTAGGCTAGCTTGAACCAAGATCTTCAGATCTCAGCCTCCTGAGTAGTTTAAGTAGCTAGGATTATAAGCGTGAGCCACCAGCACCCAGCCAGAGCTCAGTTTTTTAACTAAGCTATTATATAACTAGCCTATACCCCTAAGAATAGGGACAGTCCATTGATGAAGTTAAGACCTTTCACGACCCACTCGCCTACCAGAGGCACCCCTGTGGGTGCTGACGACTCAGGGACTAAGCCCTTGACACATGAGCTTTGAGGATGCTGCAGATCCAAACCATAATAGACATTATAGAATCTGTGTACTGTCTCAATTAAAATAATGAAAAGGCATTGGATTTTACTGCTTCATCCTCAGCATCTAGAAATTTCTGTGACACAGGACACTGTACATGAGTGAATGAATGGATGAAGTTTACCTTTCCATGAAGAACAGCTGCACAATGCTCACAAAGCCAGCAGTGGAGGATGTACTAGAGGATGTCACTAGCCTCCATGACTACATTTCTGGGCACAGCAAACCTCACTAACACTGATAGAGCCTTTTGTCCTAGAAAAGCCATGGTCTCTACAAGATTCCAAGAATAAACAATTCCTTGGCATCAAATGTCTTCTAGTGGGGGCTCTCATTCAACCAAGTCTGTGTTCTGAAAAGATTAGAGGCAAACTGGGTGCCTGGTGGCTCACACCTGTAATCCTAGCTACTTAGGAAGCTGACATCTGAGGATCACAGTTCAAAGCCATCCAGGGCAGGAAAGTCTGTGAGATTCTTCAATAAACTACTAGAAAACCAGAAGTGGCGCTGTAGCTCAAGTGGTAGAGTGCTAGCCTTGAGCTGAAGAGCTGAGGGATAGCACCCAAGCCCAGAGTTCAAGCCTCACAACACACACACACACACAAAAGATTAGAGGCAGCCTGCATACCTGCCCAGTACTACACTGATATCTGCAGCCAGGACTCAGCACAGTTGCTTAGTGAACGTGTGTGTGTGTGTGTGTGTGTGTGTGTGATACTTGGACTTGAACTCAGGGCTTCATGTTCTGGCTGGCTTTTCTGCTCAACTCTGGTGCTTTACCACTTGAGCCACACATCCACTTCTGGGTTTTTGCTAGTTAAGTGGAGATAAGAGTTAATGGACTTTTCTTCCTGGGCTGGCTTTGAATCTTGATCCTCAGAAGTAGGCCTCCTCAGTAGTGAGCCACTAGCACCTGACTTGAACTTGGGATTCTTAATGGGGAAAAAGGCAAAGCTATGAAAGAAAGCTAATTTCTTAGTTTCCTATTAGTAAATTATATTGATAAGAAAACTTGGGATATGTATGTGGGTGAAAATATGACTGAATCAATTCTGTATTGCAACCATGCATATACTAATGCATAACAAACTACCCACCCAATGTATTTAGAAATAAGTGTCATTTCTCACAAGTCTAGTTCCTTGTGCAGGAATGGTGATCCAGCAAGTTGGTTGAGGGTAACTACAACTCAGAATTATATTGTCCATGGTCTTTCAGTGGCAGCATGTTAGCCCTGGCTTGTGTTCATGATAGTAGCCGGAGAGAGCAAAGAGGGAGAGGGTGATGAATGAGGCCTAGCCTTGAAATGGAAATGTAACTTTTACTGCCATCTCTCCACTAAAGCACATTTACAAGGCCAGCCCAGATCTAATGGTTGTGGAAATATTTTTTGTGTTTGTGTCCTGCAGTTTGATCCAGGGCCTGGGTGCTACCCTTAAGCTGTTTTTGCTCAAGACTACCACTCTACCACTTGAACTACAACTTCACTTGAACTACAGCTCCACTTCCAGCTTTCTGGTGGTTAATTGGAGATAAGAAGAGTCTTACAGACTTTCCTGCCCTGGCTGGATTTGTATCATAATCCTCAGAACTCAGCTTCCTGAATAGCTAGGATTGTAGACTTGAGCCATTGAAACACATCTGGGGAAATAAATTTCATCTCTTAATGGGAAGAATTACAAAGCCATATTACAAAGGACAGAAATAGAGAAATAGTGGAAAGCTACAATCTGACCCAATGAATGTGAGAAAGAAGTTAGTTGATGCCTAATTTTTTTCAACAAGAATAGATTGTTTATATTTTATATGCATGTGTATAAAACCACAGAAGGCGCTCAACACATGGCAGAGACAGAGAGGGTGATGATCAATACAATGACAAATCTGGTGTAGTGTGAAGGTTATAGGATGTCAGATACCTGTGAATCTCTGCATGGCAATTAGCAGCTGTGTAATCTTGGGCAAGTTACTTGCTTCAATTTCTTCATTTGTGATATGGGATAATGCCACCAAATTCTTAAGGTTGTTAGGAGTAAGTTAAAGCACTTTCAACAGTGTTCATAATTCAAAGCAATGAGCCACTAGGGTGCTTGTGACTCATGTGTGTAATCCTAGCTACTCAGGAGGCTGAGATTTGAGGATCCCAGTTGAAGCCAGCCCAGGTAGCAAAGTCCATGAGACTCTTATCTTCAATTAACCACCAGAAAACCAGAAGTCAAGGTGTGACTTGAATGGTAGAGTGCTGGCCTTGAACAACAAGGCTCAGGGCAGGGCCGAGGTCCTGAGGTCAAGCCCCAGAACAGACACAGGCACACATGCATGCTTGCACGTGTGCACGTACCCCCCCCCCAAAACCACAATAAAACAAATAGCTTTAAAAACTGTAAGCTTTGCTGGGCGCCAATGGTTCACACATGTCATCTTAGCTACTTATGAGGCTGACATCGTGGTTTGAAGCCAGCCTGGCCAAGAAAACCTATGAATTTATCTCTAATTAATCACTCAGAAACCTGAAATGGAGGTGTGGCTCAAAGTATGCGAGTGCCACTCCAAGTGCTCAAGTTCTAGCCTTGAGCTCAGGGTCAGTCAAGTCCCATGACCGACAAATAAATACATAAAAGCTTACATACACATGCCTATTTAGTATTGATATGAGGATACTGGGAAACATGGGAGAAGTGCCTGTTTCTAACCAAGGAATCAGACATAAGTGGTATAGGAGTGTGCACCAAAGCTTAAAGAAATGATGAGTTTTCTAGGTGGCCAAGGAAGGTATGGGCATTGCAAATGGAAAAAGAGGGTGGAAAGTACACAAAAATACTCTCGTTCTTGAAATGCCAACCGGTTCGATATAGTTAAGAGGAAAGCACACTGGGGCCTGGTAGTTGAAGATAAGAAGAAAAGCCTTGTAAGTTTGTTTGTGGATGTTTAAACCTCCATAACTGGACAAGATATGTTTAGAAAGAAAAGTACCTAGGGTAAAACCATAATACAAAGGGTGGAGGAATAAA